ATGTGTTTTCTTCATAGACAATTCCTGATTGCTTTCAAAACTACATTCGACTCGTGGGGGCGGTGGTCATATTAGAGGCAGCTTTTATTGACGGTACGTCACTCACTGACACCAGAAAAAGCGTACCCCCTACCCATGTATGTCAATCCATGCTAAGCATTTGTTTAAATGACTGGTTATCTTTCTTGCTTTTCATGTTTCCTACACTTTACTTGTTATCATTAATGTATTTAAAGATCAAAATGTGATTTTGGTTTCATGAATCGGATCTTGCAAACTCGACAACTGCAATTGTCCACTTTAATTGAGAATTAAAGTTACATGAAAGACCATGACAGTTATTGTATAGGCCAAGGGTAGGTTGATCCCAAACACCTGTATTGAATGGTTAATTGTTTAGGGCATGGTGTAAGTTGATCATCAAGCAGAACTGTACCGATGGGTATTGATGTATTTTAACTTTCATTGTAACTGTATCAACTTCATTATTTATTTTACTGTTACTGATGCATAATTTTATCAGATGCCCAACCACAAATAGTATTTAACGTTTATCCACAATCCATGTATTTATTTACAAGTGATCTCATTTTACAACTGTGCTATAACAATGTACACTTTGCAGAGAAAAGTACTCATCTATTGTGTTCAAAAGTTATTATTTTTTTTAAGTGTCTGTACAAGACAGGTTGTTAAGATAATATACTTCAACATCCTGAGATGAGGGGTACTTCATTTGCATCTTGTCCATAGTGTTTCTGAAATGAAAATACACTTCTTAGTATGTTACATCTAATTAAAGAACATTAATAGTCAAAATATGTAATTGCATATAGATGGAAAAGATTATGCACCATCTATCCAAACGTTTCTTTATGTGTCTCCAGAATTTTTATAAGCATTTTATTTTATATGTAAACACCTGGAAATTATTAAGGGTTATTATGATGAGTAGATGTAGCCTATAGTTTTTGCATACAAATTTATATCACCTTAAGTTATGAAGTGGAGCACTTTTCATAAAAGTGCTCCACTTCATTATGCCAGCTTCTAAATGCTACTTAAGGAACCTTAAGTTATGACGTAATTTTAATATATGTACCATTTCAATATGTGAAAATTCTGTAATGGTCACATAGACTCTCACTATGACTTAATTACATTCAATATTGTTTACATAGGACACTTGTTTACGTGACTCATGTCATGAATATGGTTCTCGGCTTTAGTGCTAGTACCAGTAATTCCCATCCATAGAGGTAGGCAACCGAGCAATGTTACCAGAAGGAGTCCACTTGAAACACCTCAAATATATCCATGGAAAAAGAACGCAGATTTCAGAAATACATTGATGAAAATGATTGAATATTTACAGTTGCCAAATATATATTAAAATGAACTTCAGAGTGATCTTTTGCGTACATCTTCTTTCATTTCTTTCAAAGGTCGGTGATAGTTGTTCACTCTTTATTCATTTCTTTGAGTAATGCAACCTGAAAACTCTTACTGGCGATTGGGCGATAAATTGCAGGAATGTGGTTTAACATATCATTTTTTAATGCGCTCATCGGCCCTTTCTATGTGTATCCTTGCTCTTGCAATGTTGTAACACATTTTACCTTTCTCTTTTGTGAAAACAGATTTAGCTGACAGAAATGGAGGGATGTTTAAACTTACACCTGGTGGCAACATTTCATGAATAGTAAAACCATTATCAGCTAAAATATGATATGCTGGTTTGAAAGTAGAAAACAATGTCTAAGAATAGCTACATCTGATGTTGACCCAGGATACAGACTTGTGCAATATGTTAGAGCACCATTGGGTACCACAGCTGTCACAGCTTTAACAGTATGGCGGGACTTATAGTGGCTGTACGCTCTATTTTGACAGTCAAGGTCTTTGGGGATATCCTGGCAGATCTGTATAGCATCGATAGATGACCTAGCACTACCAAAATCTTCAAAGGACTTAGCCTTGCTGTCTGACTGCGCATGCAGTTATCTATAACACCTGGAAAGAGTTCATGTAAAGCAAGGATGAGGGTATTGAAAATATTGGAAACCGTAGCACGGCTGATATCAAATCTTAATGAGAGTTAACAAAAGCTGATTTTCCAAGGATAAAGTTAAAGGTTTCCATCCAGCGTAGTAGTTGAGGTCGAAGCGTAGTGAAGAGTAGCATCTGTAAATACAAATTCAAATTCTTTACAATTACTTACCCTATTCACCGTATTTAGCGCATAGTCCTCAAAAGCAGTCTCCCTACCTAAACACTCATATACATTTGTTTAGTCTCCCCCCACCCCACCCCAATTTAAGGTTTACTTACTTTGTATACATACCTATCATTATTAGAGGAGGGCTTTCAGGTGTGCTAACAATATTATGGCCAGGGCGCTTACCTCGTCGACTACGGTAGAGAAAACTGAGAAAGTAAGACTAAATTATTATATATATACTGTTTAAATCTATTATTTGTTTAACCAACCTTTCCTCTGCCACGTGTATCGTTGATAGAAAATGTTGAACGCCTTAGGTTTAAGGAGTGGATTTCCTGCTCCAGAGACTTGATGGTGGCCTTCAAGTCTTGGTCTTCAGCGGTTAATAAAGTCAGCTTCCACACACACCGGTCTCCGCATTGTATAGCGTAAACATGTTCCATCACCAAGGGTACAAATATTGGTATTGGAACAATAAATTCAGCACAAAGATCTCCTTTGTTCTGGTGGGAAAATGTCGGATCACCATCCTTTGAGCCACCTTCAAAATGACATGAACAAATCCTGTCATTTTCGGATGTTGGACATCTGTAGAGCCTTCTGCAATTACAGAATAATTTAAAAAACAATTAAGATCCATTATAAAGATTCAAATACTTCCAATAGCATATGTTGTACAGCCTCACTACACAAGATCCATAACATGGTGTGTAAATCAAAACTCAATTTATGACTGTATATTTATACATTTTAATCCTATGGCTATCAAAGAATTAACCATTAACTGACAAACTACATAGATGTTGATACATGAAAATCTTATAACATGGTTTCTGTAAGCCTACTAGTCAGCATGGTAGTAGGGGTCTGAGACGACTCGACTACAGACATGTATGAAACAAATTGTAAACCCGTTTCCTCTGGTAATCTTACCTTGACAGACGACCCCATAGGCTTCGTTTATTGTCCGGAAACCTGAAAAAGCTACAGGAATCCCTATTGCTTCGGTGATTACACCCAAACACGAAGCAATTAACCATGCTTTAACCGTTCTAAATTTCCCGAGGTTAGAACGACTTGGCAACATTCTCCTTGGCGGGCGAATTAGGAGCTGGAACGTATTGGCGGCGGTATCTGTCACCGGAGGTTGGCCACCCGAAATGAGAATGCAGAGACTTACACGCCCTATATGACTGAGTGTGACATATTCAGTTAAATATTAAGTCATATTTCATCGTCTAAGAAATTAGTACTGTAAAAATATAAACGAGTACTCTTATGGGCCTGGATTGAAAGAACTACTTTCGTCCAGATCTACCACCCTTGGACGTTGTCTCGCTTGGTACCGCTGCATCTTTCTCAGTCAACCATACTCGGGTAGGTGGCAGGCGTTTATAAGGAATTCAGCACGTATGACAACGACATATGATCAATATAGGCGCTTCCTGTCACTTTTATGCTTGAAAACACTGCCATCATGCTGTCTTTAGTGTTCTTGTTTGACTTCAGTTCAACAAACAGCGGTCCACAGACATTTGCCGTGTTTACATGTATTAATGCGCGATAGCATTGGCGCACCACAAAGCAGTTTTAAATATTGGTTTTAAGGTTTCTTGTTTTTCCAAAAACGGAATATCAATGATAAATTTTGGAAGTTGACAAACATAATGTTATGTGTGTTTTATTTATTAATGTTTTAACGAGGAAATATTTTGTGCATACGTTGTTGATATCTGAAGTTACAGAAAATGACTTTTTGGCATGAAAATATATAGAATGGATAAACAAGTACCTGGCCATATTGGGTGCGGTAAAACGTGTTTCTAACTGTATTCGGATTACATTGACCAAAGCTAAGGCCAACCCCTGTCCCTACCTCAAACCCTGAACTCAGAACCCTAGCCCTAACCTCAACGGTTAACCGTCAACCCTAAGCCCCACCCTATACCCTAAGGATCGTAAAGGGTTTTTTGCCTCCAAACTGAAGAGGACAGGGATGAGGGAAGCACCGATATATCGATATACGAGGCACCGCTGGCTCCGCTCTAAACACTTTTTCATGCTGTTTGTCAAATACGATGTTCATCTCATCAAGGGACAATTTCGCGAGTTGCGAAGTAACACATTATTGAGCATACCTATTTCACCACCACTTTATGGCACTGAGTACTGAGAGTACCCATCTCGCAACAATATCTATGTGTGCAAGTAGTATGACACATAATTCATTGTAACTTGATTCAGTTAATTTATACGGTTATTTAAACATGTTTGCCTTTGGGACAAAATTGCAAATGGGGCAGGAAAATGTCTTTTTCTCAAAGCTTATTGCTTAGGTAATCCAAAACACAACAATATTGAGTACATACAGAATAGGATGGGGCATAAGTAATATCCAACCAAAAGACTCACTGGACCTGTCAGAATATGAATAACAATCCTAATCTCGTTAGATCCAATATATTTGTATCGTTACGGAAAGTGTGGCCGACGCGCATGCTCCGAATACACGCGCCTGTTACTACAAATATCATCACTCTACCGAGCCACTTGTTGATGGTTCTGTCACCGTCAGCCTTATGAAGACGTTAAAACATGGTACTTGTTGTTACCATGAGTCGTGCTTAACTTTGAAAGGGATAAAGCAAGGTACAGTACCCCTGGGTTTGTATACGCTGTGTATTGTCCATGTTAAACTGTTTGCTGTTTACATAGTTTACCTTTGTTGTCGTCATTGAGTAGCAGTCAGCACTAACAAATAACATACTCAAGCAGATAAGTATAAGTTTTTATTCAAAATTGCCCACTGACACCAATACGCAATGCTAGCCACAACCATCTGACTGACAAGGCCGAATACTGTTGCAAATCTAACTACTTAAAGAGTCACCGTACACTCCCTGGATCATAGTCTAACGGTTGGTCCCTGAATATATATAATTTAGTTAGTAACAAATAAACCCATTTAAATTGAAAAGGAGCCCCAGTGAGTTGAGAGAGGAAATCTAAAATTGCTTCATTTAGTATTGCAGGGAGAGCTAGGCAGTAGGGAAAATAATGTGGTGCAGGGACTGTGAGACAGACTACCAGGATCAGTACACCCAACCAAGCCACGGCGTTTGACAGCCCGATCCATCTACTGGCCTCTTGTTGCCTTTCTAGCTGGCTGGAAACCTATACTCAGGGGTATTATTGAAGGTTGGGGGTTCAAGTCCAAATTATGTTAAAATATGTCACTTGTCGTTACACTACACACTATTTAACAACGCAAGTCACTCATGAAAGAATTGAGTGTCTTCCTGATGTTGGACTACAAAACTTGATACACGTCACTTATCATTACCCTGCCTGAACTACACACCATTTAACAACGCAAGTCACTCGTGAAAGAATTGAGTTCTCTCTTGGTGTTGGATTACAAAACTTTATAAACGTGCAAATGACCAGTAATCCCTTGGGCGATGTCGGGCTTATTTTGCTTGTCCTCTAGTTTCCACAGTCCTCTGTCCTCCAGACTGGTGAGGTTCGCACGGAGGACATCCCTTTGGAAGATGTAGTCGAAATGATTCATCAGAATATGGCCTCCTAGACGACAGAAAAGAAAAATATTGACAATGGTCGATCGATACCCACATGGATAGCTCATAAGAAATATAGGGTTTACGTCACTCAGAATAATCTGTACTATTTGACTTTACCTGATTTCGTGATACGAACCAGCTCCTCGAATGACTTGATGGGCAATGTAGAGAATATTTCGGAGCTGAGACCGACCACAGTCACTATATCGTATGTGTCTGCAAAACAACAAGGACTGCTGGTGAAAAAGAAGGCTACAGGCGTCTCACAAAGAGGAAATAACTATGTGATGCGGTTAACGAATGGATCATTCAAGTCTCTATATAGTGGTATTGATGTTGTCTGAATCTTATATAATATTATAAACAATTATAAATGTAACCTTGCATCAAACAAGTCCATACATGTGACTTGTAATATGTATTACGTTTCAGATATTGAGGATATTGTATTCGATGCTGTCGTGGGAAAGATGATACTTTACTTGTGTTAACAAATATTCTATCAGTGAAAGACACATGTATCATCTTATCTCCTAATTTCAAATACATCTGCACTGTTCTCTTCTACAGTAGTCACAGCAACATTAAATGACAAGAAGCAGGATCCACCTCAACCGTTCCTACTCTCACCGTCAGCGATGTCCAGTGTCTTGTCAGCAAGAATGACACAGATATATCTCTCATATAAGTTGTTTTTCTTGGCCTGTTCCAGCATCTTTTCAGATGGTTCCAGACCATCAATGTGTAGGAATCCTTGTTTTCGCATCTGAGAAATATACAAACGATATAGCGTTATCCTCCACCTTGCCACCACACTAGTTCAATCTGCACTAAACATGGAAATATACACCATTGAGACAAACATGGAGTCATGTTGTCAGCTTTGTGTGGGAGGAAAGAAACAGAATGTGGGAGGTATGCACAAAGTGATGCAGGTCTCAGACGTTTTATCACATTGGTGAAACCCATGGGCTCGGGTTTGATACTGACAAACATGAAAACAATCGGTGCGAATCGGGATTCGAACCCACACTCATAGGTTTCTCGCATGTCCAAGGGAGGCAACACTGCACAGCGAGTTCAAATAACGGTGCTCTTGACTTCAACCACACGCAAACTGTAGCGCAAATAGCGTTGCGCAGAGAGAAAATATGACCAGTCTGCCTATATGCGAGGGAAGGGCTGGCAACGTGTACTTCACTCGCTTCGGTTCGAAAAATACTTTTAATGTCAAAATATAATATCGCCACCATCAAAGGTAGACACGCATTTCCTCACAGGGTTGTGCTCTCAGATTTCCAACCTCGTATTTACTAATTACTCACGTACAATATATTCCATCTAACATTTTAAGCGCCACTCGTGGCATATCAAATCGTTCTTCGCCTCCATTACCCCTGCCAGCTTCTGGTTCATCGGAGTGAAGGAATAAGGGAGTTAACTCTAAATATACTTGTTTCCCCCCATGTCCGCAAAAGTAACCACTTGTGGAGTTACCTCCCTTGTTGCCATTCATCCGCTACGTCAGAAGTGTGTTTTAGAATGTTATGAAAATTCTGACAATAACGACGGCAGATAAGATAAATATCTTTAACAGTTTAATGGTAAAATTAGGCAATATGATATTTCCTTTTAATTTCTGCTTATTCTTGTTCCTTCACTCCGTTGAACCGGAAACTGGCAGGGGTAATGGAGGCGATGAATGGTTATTTTTCTCTCTGTTGCGAAACCCTATTTGCGCTACAGTTTGCCTGTTCTTCAATGTTAAAATATGTACACTTATTTTGTTAATCTATTTGGCATGTAGTTTTATTTGTAATGCAGTATATTATAAACAAAACCACTAAATTCTGTACCCAACCTCCGTTTGACTGGAACTACCCTTCAACTGTTAACATCAATATGTACATCAAACATGTCGGAAATCCTACAACTATGAATGTGGAATGAATAAAATGTTCCTTGTGACACAGAAACCATTTGAGTCATTTGTGTGTCATTTGAGACAAACAAACAACTCCCTGAACAAGACACGTTCTACCAATTACACGATTAACCAAAGGGAAATCCTGACCTAAGACTGACTCCCCGCTCCCTTTAATCGAATCTCCCAACTTTGGCAGGTGCACATACAGGGTATTGACAAAGAATAACTTCCAGATGAAACACACAGTTGGGGTGAAGTACGAGTCACCTCTACCGCAAATAGGATCCTTTATATCAATGTCTAAAATACTTGTACATCAACAAAAGAGGTAATCGTTTTTATGTAACCGCTTCATCAACCGAGATCCGTCTGTACTGGCTACATGTCAACGTACTTGTACATCTGCATGCGCCATCCTACTGTCACCACATGTGCCACGAACGTGCCTTTCTTTCTTGATTTTGTGTAAGATGTTTTGTGTGTTTTTGTGCATCCATCCAGTAATTAAAATCGACAATATTTTCAATATTTTAACACGATGAATTATGCTGAATGTGTGCAGATATATTTTCAAGTAGGTCACATTTGGTGCGGAGCTGGGGTTGGTGAAGTCAGTGTCCTGTACGCGGAAAAGTACAGTAACTGGTTAAACTAGCCAGAAATGTGTGGTTTTATTGCAGCTTTAGGCTATATTGTGCAGATACGTCATGTAATGATCTGGTTTTAAAAGATTTGGCTGTATGTATACTGCAGGCCACTCGCTGCCGTAATACAGTATCCAATCTTCCGACCTCTGCGGGTTGTGTGTGCTGGAGTTACTACGAAGAAAAATGACCTATCAAAATACTGACCAGATCTGAAACAAATTAACCCGGAAACAAATGTATATGTGATCTACAGCGTCAACCTGCCCAGTCGCCAGAACACCAGGAGGTCGTGGAAGGGCCATCTGCAGATCGTTCACATGTATTCGATCGTGCTGAGGCCTGCAGATCGAGTTAACCCCTGCTGAAAATGTCTCTCCTGGTACGACCACGACATGAACTATGTGTTCCCAATACCAGCAGCTGACCACTGGATTGTCTGGTCCAGTACCGAGGTCCACAACCGAGGTCAGTATGTAAATGTATTCCCTTCACAACAGAGGTCAGTATGTAAATGTATTCCCTTCACAACAGAGGTCAGTATGTAAATGTATTCCCTTCACAACAGAGGTCAGTCGTACATGTATTCCCTTCATAACACAGGTCAGTATGTAAATGTATTCCCTTCACAACAGAGGTCAGTATGTAAATGTATTCCCTTCACAACAGAGGTCAGTATGTATTCCCTTCACAACAGAGGTCAGTCATACATGTATTCCCTTCATAACACAGGTCAGTATGTAAATGTATTCCCTTCACAACCGAGGTCAGTATGTAAATGTATTCCCTTCACAACCGAGGTCAGTATGTAAATGTATTCCCTTCACAACAGAGGTCAGTATGTAAATGTATTCCCTTCACAACAGAGGTCAGTATGTATTCCCTTCACAACCTAGGTCAGTCATACATGTATTCCCTTCATAACACAGATCAGTATGTAAATGTATTCCCATCCACAGCAGATGTCACAATTTACCTCACAAGAGACCAAGCCCGTCCCTGCAGCCACATCCAAGATGGAGACAGTTTTTCGGTTGTGGGTATATAGAGCAGCTAGACTCTCCGCCATCCACTCCGGCAAGTTGTTACCAATTATGGCTTGCATCTGAAGCCATAACAAGTCAACAAATATCTAATTTGATTACTTTAACAACCATACATATATAAACTTTCTTTGAAATGGGAATATGCAAAATAAAATTGGAAGAATGTTGTATGTACCTCTCCGTATCTTACAAAAGCCGTTTTTAAGGACACATGCACATCGGACGGGTTATCCATACATACCTCTTCCAGTTTCTCATAAAAATTCTAAATGTTGCCTCTTTGGACCTCCTGCCCTGTATGAATTTGCTGGGCAGTGTTAAGCCCCTTGAGCAAACCAGAGACCTGTGATTTGTGGGGTCTAATCTAAATTTCGCAGTTTCTCAGGACCCTAGCCGTGCTTCATTAAAGTGGTATAGGTCTGAGTCCTGCTTTTCATCGGGCTTTAAGCTGACGCACCGTGATATAATTGGAATAGTATTTAAAAGGGCATTAAACTCAATTCACTCACTCAAGGATCAATCACGAAACATAACACTACACACAGTCTAATATTACCTTTGCCTTTACTCCTGGGTTCAACAAAGTGGTACACGTCTAGAACCTGCATTACTTCGGGCTTCCCTCCTATATTGACCTAATCTTACTTAATTACTCTTAAAGCAGCGTTAAACTCAAGTCACCTACACCTGTGGCATATGATTGCTTTCTTTCGCCATAGGCAGCACCTTTACAAACTACTCATGGACCCAACACTCTCCGCTTTCATGACTGGTTCTTTACGTGAGTGAGTGAGTTAAGTTTTACACCGCAATATAACAGTCTGTAAATAATCGGGTTGGGCAAGACAATTCAGTGATCAACAGCATGAGCATCGATCTACGCAATTGGGATACGATGACGTGTCAACCAAGTCAGTGAGACTGACCACACCATACACAGAGCTTGAATGATATAAATGTATGTCGAATGTACCTTATCATACTTCTCAGCTATGCAGTCGAACCTCTTGACAATGGCATCATTATCCAGACCCTTTTCTATCAGGAATTGAAAACATCGTTTCCCCTCTTCCTTATCCTCTCCTGTAAATGTTGTTCCCTCCATCTCCAACAACTCCGCCTGGCAATGTATTCAGATCTACAAAGAACACCAGTATGTACGCCGTTTTATGGTATCTGCTGTATCATGTAAATGCATAATTGCATTATTCCTAAATGATATTCCACACCAACGGCATTATCATTGCATTGATTTGAGTTTGTACAGCTTTGTAGTTTTCATACAATGCATATAATCGTGTCATTATTGCCAGCTGTTGATAGGCCAGAAACTGATGCCTGGCGCTTTCCAGTTAAATTACTCACGGAACTAGTAATAAAATGGTTTCCGGCGTTTGTTTGTTTATTACTTTATTAAAAAAGGTAGTTTTAATAAATATTAAAATAACTATGTTTTTCCCAACTAGGCCTTTCAATTTAGTCCTCTAATCATCATCCAAAATACCATTTTACAGGTAAAAATAACAAAAAATTGCATATTATCAACAAATTTAGAAACATTGTATAACTTAGGTCACAATCAACAATGGGTTGTAACAGTTACCTGCAGCACTGTTTAAACGACAAGGTGCATTGACACGTGCGTCGCCATAGCGATTGTGCAATTGACAATCAAATCTATGAATGAACTCGTAAAAATAATAAATTTTCAACAAGTGTACAGGCATGAAAATGCACTGAGAAAATCCCCCAATCAAGTATTTTGTATATGAATTAGGATAAAAGACATAAAGGATGAATGGTATATGGCTTTTTTCATAAAATATATTATGTACGCGAAACTATGGAGAGTACATCTCTTTTGCATTTTATAGCTTGCATCGAAAACGTACATTTTGACGTTTTGGTGAAATTTCAAAAGGTAAAAATGACACGATTTGTTCTCCTGTAAACTCATCTATTTCGGATGATTTTACAAAATGTGTTAAAACCAAAAGTTGGGAAAAACGATAGTCATGGAATATTTAACAATCAAACTTTAGTTGTGTTCAAAACTAAAAATATACACCCAAAACCATTTTAATTCAATTTCCGTGAGTACTTTAGTACTGCTTTCTTCAAGTAAAGGGCTGGCTATCCCTATTTTTCTGTTTGCTTGTTACACCACATCGCATTCATCATTATTTCATCTGCACAAACGCTACCTTAAACCAATCAGTGCTTTCACTGTGAAAATATAAACCAGTACCTTTATGGGCCTGGATTGAAGGGACTACTTTCGTCCAGAAATCCCGTCCATGGGAGTTGTCTCCCTTTGTGCCTCTGCTGACAACTTCTTTCTCAGTCAACCATACTCGGGGAACTGGCAGGCGTTTATAAGACCTTCAGCACGTATGACAACGATATATAGCGAAGTAAGGCGCTTCCTTGCACATTTATGCTTAAAACAACTGACATCATGTTGTCATTCTTCTTGTTCCAAAAATGGAATATCAATGATAAATATAGGAACTTAAGAAAATATATACTATCCAAACAAAGAAATGCATAGGCGTTTTGTATTTTATAAAATCTATTAATTACCTAGTGTGTTCAAACAGTCGTAAAAATATGTAACAAAAGTGTTGATAACATGATTTTACACCATTCCACATGTTAAAATGGACTTTACTTGAAAATGTTGATTTTGATTAGATTTCTTACAAGGTCATTAAAAAAGCACCGCCACAACGCAACAGAAATCATCTTGCACGTGAAAATTGTGCAGTAAAGAGCATGCAGTGTCTGGCTATAGAAAAAGCCTGATAACTTTCGGAAATCGGCATTCATCTTGAAGAAGTTTCAAGGCCAAATCACTAAGCCACGTCTTGACGCAGCGACACGGAAATCGCCATTGGAAGAATGCAGGCTGGAGAGTGCCATTTTTCTGAATGAGAGCACAATATCACGGCTTGCAGCTCGTTACAACATACAGGAATGACAAATGACCGTCCCTGTACAGGAAGACCTCGAGTCACCACTGCAACCCAACATTGGTACATACGGAACTACATTTCTGGTGCCCCCGCCGTGAAATTGCCAGAATATTGCTAAAAGTTCACTCACAATTCTTGTTTTAACGAGGAACTATTTTGTGGACCCGCTGTTGATAACTGAAGTAAATACGACTTGGGCAGTTGATGGCAATTATTGTAACGGGGGCATTTTGGCATGAAAATATATATAATAAATAGACAAGTAGCTGGCCTTCTTGGGTGCAGTGAAGCGTGTGCAATGACCCACACTCGATCGAGTGATAAAGCGCAGAAGCGACCACCAACTATTGCATCCCATCAAAAACAAAGGTGAAGCTCCAGCTAAGGATCCGCCTTTCGACATGTTACGGCTAATGAAACTGATATAAACGTCAAGGCAACAACGTCTGCAGTTTCTTTCTTAGAAACCAAGCTGCACTGTCATGTCCTGGTGGGACGAAACGTGTTTTCTAATTGTATATTTTCGGATTACACTGACCTAAGCTAAGGCCTTCCCCAACCCTAAACCATTAACCCTAGACCCAATACCTTAAACTAAGCGGTAAATCCTTTACACAAAACGCTAAACCCAACCCTAAGCCCTGGCGCGATAACTGCACCGTTTCGTGCAGGCTTCGCCAAGGTCTGTTTTATAACGTTTGTCAAATACGATATATAACTCATCGAGTGAAGTGTGAAAATCATATTTTCTTGAGTTGCGAAACGAGTAGCCCCTTCCCGTCACCTACCTGGCTGGGGAATTCTTGACGATGAACCTCTGAGCGAACCCTGGATACCTGTTAGTAGCCCCTTGCCGTCACCTGCCTGCCTGAGAAATCAGTGAAATGAACTGGATACCAAGTAACAGGTGGATGGTCATATATAAAAGCAGAGTACAGCATAAACTCTCACTACAAACAGAGAGAACCGCATCGGTGGTTGCACTTTATGCTCTGTTAATCTTGCGAACACCTTCGGCACGACCCACAACTGTGTACAAGTGGAAAGCATGGATGTGTGACTACGAGGACCGTTCAATAGGTTTTGCAAGCTGGGCATTTGTGTTTACACAAACATTGTCAACTTGTGGCAGGTGTGACACTTGTCATAACAGCAGGTTGACACATGTCATAGAAAGTTCCAGATAGAACAATAAGTTAGATATGATGGCTTCATTCAACTAGGGGAGGTCACAATCATGGATTCTCTCAAACATGAACAACGCGCTGTAACAAAGTCCCTTACCAAGAAGGGATGCAAAGCACAAGAAATCCATGATCCCATGTGTAAAGTGATGGGTAAGGATGCTTCTGACTATTCCACAGTTTGCCGTTGGTCTCTATAGTTTAAAATGAATATGGAGTGCATAGACGATGACCAAGGTTAGGCAGGCCTTCAGATGCCATCCAACCGGAAACCATAGCCGCTATAGAAAGAAGAATTTTGTCTGACCGACGACTGAAAGTATCTGAACTTTTTAAGGAATTTCAAATATGAGTTGGAACTGTTGAAACAATTATTCATGAGCATCTTGTTATGTTCAAGGTATCTGCAAGGTGGGAACCTCGAAACCTCAGAGCCTCAGAAACCAAGATTGCCATCAGAGAACTGAAAGTTGTCGAGAGCTCCTGGATCTCTATACTGCTGATGAAGCCGGATTTCTTTCTCGTCTTGTGACAGGTGATGAAACATGGATCCACCACTGGACTCAGAAACTAAATTGGAATCCATGCAATGGAAACACATACCCCACTTCTCCCTCTGAAGATGTTTCGCACTCAACCATCGGCTGACAAGGTATTGGCCATCATATCTTGGGATGCACGAGGCATATTACTGATTGATTATATGCCACCAGAAACGGCAATCAATGGATAGTGTTAATTTAATGAAACATTTGCGAAAATCTATTCTATTCTATTAACTTGTAAACTCTGTCAATCTGCATCTATTGCTGATGAATTTCATTAAGTATATTTTTGAATGTCAAAATCTAGGAAAATGTATTTATCATCCCCCAACACAAAATATCCAAGTCAGCACAATTTGTTAAATTCTTCACAACTAATGACACTAAAGAAATTATCAATTGATCAAAATTTGTATCAAGAGTATCAGCCCTTATAAGAAACATGAACTGAGACTAAATACAGCCATCTTGTATAATATTTTTGTTTTCATATATACTATATAAAATATTTGTTTTCGCTCTTGCACCACCAACCGTGGTTATTGGAGAATAAATGATTGATTGATTGATTGCTAATTTAATGAAACATTTGCGAAAATCTATTCGCCGGAAACGCCGTGAGATGTTAACAGTTAAATCGCCCACCCGACAGCCCAGGTCTAGCCACCAGTGACTATTGCCTGTTCTGGCAAAGGAAATCTGCCCTACGTGGAAGATGCTTTCAGGATGACGAGGACACAAAGGCTGGCACAGAGGCGTGGTTAGAGGGCCAATCTGCGGATTAAGATAAAAGTGGTATTAAAAGCTTGAAGGACGAATGGAATAAGTCTATTAAGGTGAATGGAGATTATATTAAAACATATAAGTGCAAAATTTGTTGTGCGACTTGGTCTTATATGGAAGGTGCAAAATATATTGAACGCCCCTTCAGTATCGCTGGGCAATCACGACTTTGAATATACAACACGAAATAATCGTTTCAAAACTGTTCAAACAAGTTCCAATTGCTTGGCGACATATTTCCTTGAGAATCTTTTACATTGCATCCTTTCTTATTACCCTTAAGATAGATTTGTCGAATTCTGATTGGTCATTGGACCTTAACCTTAGATGGAATGTGGCTGCCAAACGGCTGATCGCTTCGATATTTTAGAGTTGGCGTATCCAATTATAAGTATAAACAGAGTAATAACATTGTTGCCATACTTTCTTATTTGCTTGTGTCAATAGATATATCAAAAAAATAAAATGTTTCTGTATTTCACTTGTCGCTTAACAAAACCTCAAATTCGATAATTTTTATCCTAAACTAAGGCATCTCGAGTTATCTCCCTTTATGACCGTTCAGGAAAAACATGACGAAACGTTTTGCGTCTCATTCTGCCGATGATTGAATGATGTTGTTTAAAGATTAACTAAATAAAAAGATCAATAGGGTAATAAATTCGGCTGCGCATCAGGAAATACGGAATATACAAGGGTCTTACAGTCCCGTACACCCTTTCAAAACACCGTGTAACTAAAAGTGTTATGGAACAAGTGGAAAAAGGAAACAATGAAGGAATTTGACTGTAAGTTTACTCAAAACCAACTTCTGACGGGACTGACCGAATGCAATTTCATCGAACAATTCAAGTGACGTCACAACAGAACGTGACGATATTCGACTTTGGCCTTTGACAAAACCATAGCCTGCAACATGTCAAACTTTGTCAGACACAACGTCAGTTTTCAGTGTTCGGTTTTGGTCCAACAACAACGTTAATAGTGCAATTGTTAGGTTAGCACCAGCAAGAAAGCCAATATTACCGCTATTTAAAGCGTGAATTCGGGTTGCTTTGACTTGTTTGTCCCAGAATATCTGCCAGTCCAAAGCCAATGTCGAATGAACCGTAAGCCCACGCACCCACTATGACGTCCCTTGACAGAACTGATAGTGGCCCGTCGTTAAGGTTGAGGGGTCCAATATCATTTGCAGCGGCCCGCAATTTTCTGATAATAGGAGGGCCGTTTCATGATAATTGCATGTATTTTAGCTATAATACGTGATAACCGAACCGTACAAGAAGACAGTGCGGCGATAAACAACACAAGCAACAGCGACGTGGACACTCCCAAACTGAACCGTGGCACGGAAACTAGGCTGCTCTTGAAAATTGTATATCCGCACGTTTTGATCGTCTTTGGAGTTCACCAGAATCGAAACATCATTTTAATTTAATAAAAATATAACATTCTACCCTAACGTTTATGAATGCTTCATCTGATTGGTTGAAAAGGTATTATTTTTCCATGGATACTGGCTAGCGAACAGTGAAGACTTGCCATAACATGGTTCCTAATATACCTTACAGTAAAACAACATTATTAATTATTGCTGTCCTCTATACATGGAGATGTATGGGGAACATGGAGATGTATGGAGAACAGCAATGTAATAACTGAACCAAAATCATTCCCTCTACTGGTTAAGGCCGTGTGGGATTAGAAAAACAAACAAATCCAGTCAACCATGCCTCATAATCCTCTTACTCTTTAAATAAACAACTTGCCCGACTGGCAAAAGAGGGGGGAGGTACCGCCAGACCGACAACCAAGTTAATTTGCTCATTTCAGCCCCTTCTAGTACGTCGGCCTGGCGCAACAGTTAGCCTTTGCCAATTTAAAAAAGATTAGCGAAGCAATGGCAGTGGTGGGTTAAATCTGTGGGACATGTAAAAAAAAAGTTATTTACAGCTGGCAAGATGATCGTACATTCGTTCATTTATTCATACAATTAATCAATCACTAGCTCTTTAAAAACATTTCATACACACATTTACTTAAAACACTTTTCATACATACATTGCATACATTTATTTAAAGCACTTTTCATACATTTCATGGTTATGACCTGCTCCTTGTCAAGATGTCGTTTACTTCAGTTCATTTATTCACCAAATCCACTCACAGTGGTACACAGTACAGGTATATAGTGATACATGAATGATTTAATATCGATACGAGGCAATATCATTGAAGTTTTGAAAGATTTACATAAATACATGTCATATATTTGCTTAACGTATCAACAACTGTGTAATTTCTTTCAATAAAAAGACTAATACTATGCAGTTTAAAGTAATTGGGTCTTGTACAACAATACTTTGGCAATAACTTGTTTCTATCTGCTAATAAAGATAAGTGGTACTTATCACCCACTTCACCGGAGTTACACATCAAACACTTTCGGTCATTAAAAAGCACATGATGCCAGCGTCCTACTTGCAGGACAGGTCTTCAACAAACATTCCCTGGACTGCCAGGAATGTCTCTTCTTATTGCTCCTGAACACATATCCTTGATGAACTAATGTTTTAATGAACTTAAAGGGCCACTGATCCAGAGCAATTTCCGTGGACTGGTTGTTGCTTTTGTTATTGTTTTTCTCCCGTGAGTACCCGGATGATATCCCAGAATTCATGACTGGTTCGTTACCTCTGCTGCGCCACCCTCATGCGCAATTGATAGTATAAGTATAGACTGATCAACAAAGATGAAATCTTTTTTGCTCGATAATCTTGATTTTATTGTAAAATTATGTAGACTGTGATGAATAATTTGGTTGCTACGTGTGCGTGAGCCATGACTGCGAACAGTTTGGTAAATATATCATCCCTTTAATTATACTCTGTGTGGAAACTGTTCACAACTGTAAATTCAGTAAGTGGTGAACGCGTTAATTAAGCCATGAGTTAGAACTCACTATAAAGTGGTGAACTCGTCATGAGCTGAGACGACCCCCGTACTGTCAAAACAATGCTGGTTGGCGTTAATCACTTCAGAGGACACCGGCAAGTCGGCCTGGCGCACCTCTCTGCATGTCTATTTGGTTCAAGCGTGGAGTGGTTATCGCCACGAAACAGTTATTGCCAATATATCAGTATCACACGTGCGCAGTTACGGTCAATTACAATTCCAGATTTTTCCCCCACGGTATTTGACGACAATATAGTACAGCAAAAGAAAATTCTTAACGGTAAGTAACATAAGAGGAAATTAAAGATAAAGTTACGAACCCTATACAATTTTTTAGTCGCGGGCATGTCCCACGACTTACATAATAGCAAGTTCATAAATAAGAGAAGCTACAAAACGTTTATGAATCAAATCGTTTTGCTGTAATAATGAACTGATGGACCGTAGAATATCCATATTCGTCTGATGAGATACTGAGTTATTGCCATTTAGCACATCCCGCGGGAGAAACCTTTCACATAGAAATATGATTCGTATCGAATGGTATTATATTTAGGACACATGAAAAAATAGTGGAATACATCCTCATAATCTTGTGAGCAGGAACAAGAAGCATTATCAGAAATGAAACAATTATACTTATCACTGTTTAAGTCACTGCATCCCAATCTAAGGCGGCAGTGTATTATTTGACAAAATCGACTACCAAAATTTAGATCGAACATTGTGTTGGTATTAACTTGTGGTGTGATTAGATTCTTAAACTGTCCAACAGAGGAAGCGTTTGCAGCATTTGTAGGTAGGCCATTCCACAGTTTAATTGTATCGGGCAAAAACGATTTGGCATAATTAGTAGATTTGCATCTTATAGTGTGATAATTTTCATTATTCCTAAGATTATAGTTACTGTTATCAGAAACATTCCCTGGAGCATGATCACAAAGATAGTCAGGAACCATATGGTTTACCATTTTGTAAAATAATGTTAATTTAGAAGTTTCTCCCCGTTTCGCTAAGGAAGTCAGGTTTGTCTCATGATATAGTTTCGCATGGCTCGTACCTCTAACTGCACCGCATATTGTGCGTAAGGCATCTAAGTGAAGGTTTTCTAGTGACAAGGACTGTTCGTTTGTACAATTGTCCCAGAGATGACAGCAATAGTCAAATAGAGGTAAGATGAGACATTTATACATTGTTTCGAGAGTTTTGTGTGATAGTCTATATTTAAAACTACGAAGGCAATTAATCATATATATATTATTTCATGAATGGCATGAGAAATTCTGAATGGCGATAACTGTTACAGTTCGTTGTGAGAAAACATCTATTAATACTGCCATGATTCACTTCCGCCGCGTTATATAAAAACATGATCGGCGTCAGTGAACGGGCTGGACATATCGGTGAATGGCTATTTAAGTATAATAATTAATTCTGTGTCAATAACTTAGCGAACGGCTGTGTAATTTTGTAAATGCCGCTAAAATATGGCGATAACTGTTCGTTAGCCAGTACATGTTTTTTAAATTAGATACATGCATCACTGTGTCAGGGCCATAGAATCATCGGTCACAAACGGCGGCAGTCTCCCGTGCTGTGTGAAGCATGGTTAGGTCTCTTAATGCCTACAGTGACAAATGCCTACAGGCAATAATAGCTAGGGAGTATGTTGTTTTAGGTGAGCAGCAGTGATACGCTTCCCTGCACACAAGTGGTCACTTCCACCATAATGAGTTTAACCGGTTTACACTATGAAAACTTCCTAGAGATTATCTGATCATATCAGCACAAGCAGTGCCTTATGTATCCTTTTTTTGCTTGTTTTCAATACAATTTGTCTATCTTTCTCAACAGGAGCTATATATGTAAAAGCAATTTAATTACTTCTGTTAAGCATGCAATAGATTTTGTACTGAGTAAGTTTGGGAAGGAAACATGTTGAAATAAAATGGGACTTCTGCATATATATATGAAAACCCCAGCATTTTTTCATTGTGTAGACATTTGTCCACCTTGTCTGTTGGAATGTTCCATTTATGTAATGGGGAGAAGATACTGCTGCTTGAAATCACTGGTGCATTACTTTGTTTATTCTACACTGTAGGCATTTGCCACTGTAGGCATTTGGAGACTACGCCTGGAGCATTACGACCGGTGAATCATCGGATGAATGTTGGACACATGGGAAATGTCCTCATTTGTAACAGCACTGTCACCGTGAACAACTGGTTTGGCAGCCACAGGAAGCGAAGATAAATGAAGGAGATAGTTCAACTCATCAGCAAGAACAGCACCGAGTTCATTTTGAGTGAAAGATGTCGTTTGAGTTTGACGTACACCTCAGCTAATGACGTTCCCAGGCGTATTCAATCGGGAAAAGGTCAGGACTGAGTGCTGGCCAGGCCATGACATGCATGTTTTCTTGTTGGAGAAATAGGGCCAAAAGCCTGGCTCGAAGAAGACGTGCATTATCTTTTTGACGGAAAAAGTTTTCAACACTTTTATAAATGGCGCAAAGAGTGGTGAAATAGTGTTGTTTTAATAATATCGGTCTGTGACTCTGCCATGGACATGGAAGCATGGTTGAGCCAGTTGTTGCGATGCAAGTGTATACCATTATTGACCTAATAGCCTATGAACCAAAGATGACCGCTGTATGACGTTAACGTCCATAAAACGCTATTTACAACGTTTCCAAACGCGATTTCTTCGGTCATGGGCGTCCAGAATGAACTTCGATTCCTCATTTAAGACATTTAATTTCGTTACCAGACATTGGTGAAAAGGTTGTATTCATGTATCACACCAACAGGAAACTTGGAATAGTTTTTCTGTATCATTGAGTATTTACTGATATACGATTAGGCAGACATCGGTGTATTAAAGGCACAGTGTCACACCACAGTTCTCTAAAAATACATAATGCATTTCTCTCAGTAATACTATCAGCCCTCAGGGAAGCTACGATATAATATATTCCAAACAAAGTTACGTATTTAGATTACAATATTAGATTAAAAAGTTCGAATGAATTAATGCAACTTTGCATTAAATCGACTCTCGCACCCTCTACCGACCGAACATTATTTCAAGCGAACCCCATGGAGTTATGTCTCTTGGAGCGCTCTTTACGAATATCCTACGCACAACTTGTCATTGAAACCAAACACCGACAACACCGCGTGCGAATTTTTCGTTTACAGTCGTTTACATTCCATATATGGCATGTGTCATCTGTTCGCCTCGAAGTTTCAATTATCGATTTCAGGCAAGTCTTAAGGGATAATACGTCTTTTATTGCATCAATAGGAAGCTAAAGTGAGTGCATATGCCCCGAATATATACAATATAGGCCAAACTATTGTCGAAAATATGTGACACTGTGCCTGTAAGTCGCGAGTATTGAGGAATCGGCTTGCTTGACAACAAGTATGACAATACCAACCCACACACAGCACAACACCTGAGTAAATAACCGAACAGTTTATTACACAGCCACTGAATGATATTTTACATAATCAATCAATAATAGTATGGGTTACAATGAACTATTACAACATGTTCACAATGCAATCAGCTTTCAGAGTACAAACAACCATCACACGTTGAATGGCTACACATCAATCTGAACGTAATGCAATAATTCAATATATTACACATATAACCCTAGTGGGCGTTCATAAGTGCTCACAACGTAATGTAACTGCTATACTGCCCAGATGGCACCGTAGCATTCTAGGTAAACTTCGCTGTTGTATTCTGATCTTCGGTATGATTTGTTTAGAAAATCTAGTATCTTACACCCAAATTTTGCTCAGTTATCAAACACTGAACAAGCTGCATTCCTCTTACAAACAGAAATTATTGTTAATCCACTGGCCGCTTTAGTTAGCCGTATGTACCGGCGTAAGCTATCATCCCTATAAAGTTTCTTTCTTTTTCCTTAGGTCTTTCATATGTGTGATACTCCTTAATGTTTTAATCTTATATTTTATACATTTTATGCACATATTGTCTAGTGTGTCTCACTGGCCATCTGGCCTGGTGTCTGTATTTTTCTATGTCTTTTTACATTTGCCATTTTTGACATGTACATTCACGTGACTCATAATTAAACTATTTTGTCTGTCTGTCTGTCTGTCTGTCTGTAATAGTTAGGGTACCCGATGCACTCTATACAATCTACAATAGTCGCAAAACAGCGTAATCAGTATTAAATAAATAATCCTAAACAGTAATACAGAAATATATGAAAGGGTACCACGTTGCACACCCACCTGAAAGAAGTGCCATGGTTAGCAAATAGTAAAGAGATGTTCAATAAGATTAAAGTTGACATAGAATAGCAATGATAAAGATTTATCGAACAAGAACAAAGTAAAGTTACATACCTGAATACCTGAGTGAATTTACTAGACAGCCACCCCATAATATGTGACTGTCATCCGTATTATATACTAGCTATTCTAGCTATCGGAGATAGTCGCGTTCACAGATAAAACTTACGATAACGTTCTCATTGTGAACTTGAGATTATGTCATTTAGTTGGACCGAAGCATCGATGGCCAGTCGCGAGTATGCCGTGGTACGGGATTTGACCAAGGGATATAAACATATGGATTATGTCCGATGCTCGTTATCAATGTGACCCTTGGCAGGTTTAAGACTGAGGAACGGGTCAGTTAGTCTGTAATATTTACATTTTCAATAACATAATGTCATAAAACATTGGAAAAAATGTGTATAGTTTTTCCGTGTTAACAGATGGAAACTCCTAGCTAACATTACATAGTATATTTATGTTCCTGGATACTGGGAATTAGAATATTTATTAATGTTCTGTCCGCTTCATCGTGGCCTGTTCATGCTATCGATTATCTGTCTTCCTATTCTGTGGCAGCTTGTGTTAGTTTTAGACTGTCGTGATAAATAACTGGAATACTCGTACGGTTGACTGTGTTTGTAAAAAAACAACAACTATCACTCCGGCAGTAACTTCACGATTTAATAGTCAGCTCGTCTTTGTTGAATTGAACACGTGTGAAAGCCAACATTTCGTCTTCTGTTACTGTCTCTCCCGTACAACATCACGAGAAGTCCATGCTGCACGGTGTACTTTGACACACGAGCGCGCGCGTGAGCTTGCATAAAGGATCTGGGGAACAGCCGATTCTGACTTCACGTCTACGGAGTAAACAGTGCACTGTTTATGTAGAACTAAATAGCTCTGTATCAATCTACAGCTATATAGAAGATTTTGACCGACAGGTACACAGGAAGTCACAGCTTTTTGAAAAACGTAGGTGTGAATTTTATGATTCGTATGTTCGCTTTGAGTAATCGAATAATATTGCTGAAATACGTCCCCAAATAGACTTATGCACTATTAACTTTAATTACTGTTACATTGGGGCACACATTTGTACATATATTGAAAAACGATAAGATGATGATGAATAATGTTATATATTCATAACACCTTTTTTTCCTTTGTGAGGTTAGCCCAGTGGTTAAAGCGTATGCACGTCACGCATTTTGGTACAATGTGTGAAGCCCATTTCTGGTGTCGACCGCCGTGATATAGCTGGAATATTGCTAAAAGCGGCGTAAAACCATACTCATTCGCTCTTTTGCTTTGTTCCGCATATTTAGACAACTATAATTGCATGAAGCATTATGTACTGTAAACTGCCTTTTTTCTTTAGAATATGTATGGGCGTCATATTGCTGAATTTCTGCACATTTTTATTAATTTGAAATAGATACTTTAAGACATACTGTCGTACATGGACATCTGTATTGTAGCATCAGTCTGCCCCTGTCGCTGTGTTGGACACGTGGATGTCGCTAACGGGACATAAAGTCCGAAGATGGACGTCATTCTTTAAAGCCATGACTTATTTATGTCACGTATGTACTGCAGGTACGAATTGTTGTGACATCACAAAATGGGTCACTTGTCACGTAAGGGGAAAAACCCATGGCTCAGGGTAACATATTAACCCGTCCACCGGAGCCAACACGTGACAGGGTAATGCCTGTTGAATGTATGTCAGATTTAGGGACCATCGACGCCTCTTTGTCTGAAACAGAGACCAGTTGTTAGATTTAGAAGTCTTGAGGGTTCGTGCGCTGACGGTTACGGCAGTTATATAATTTTGCAGTCGGAACTAGGATCTTGCAGTCGACACAGGTAGGTCATGAGGAGTTGCAACTCGCAGTTGACCGTAAAATTGAATTTTAAGGCGAACCATTTGCAATGATTTTAGAGTCGGAGACAACATATTTAGAATTCTGTGAGTGAATTCCGTTCATTTAGTATTCCATAAAATTGGATCTGAACAGTTAGGATTCACGAAGCTGGTATCAGTATATTTAGGCATGGGTTTTGTTTTGTTTTGTTGTTTAACGCCAGCAATGTGGCCGCGGTCTGTAAATGATCGAGTCTGGACCAGAGAATCATGTGATCAACAGCATGCGCATGGGATACGATTATATCTGTCAACCAAGTCAGCGAGCCTGACCACCCGATCCCGTTAGTCGCCTCTTACGACAAACATGAGTTGCTATGACCAATTCCAAGCCGGATCTTAACGGGTGGCATATTTAGGATCAGGGGCTGCTCCACACATGTTGGATTCTAGGAGCTCCATTCCGATCATCAGGGACTCCGCAAGCCTCACTCTGCACAGTTAGGATTCTACTGGCTGCAGTCGACGTCGCCTCAATTATGCTGTTGCTGTCTGTACGTTTAGGGCTGGTGCATGATGTAGAGCTGAAGGAGCTGAAGCTGTTACAGCTCCTATTCTCAGTATCACGTCTAGTCGGTTTGTGGAATCAAATCATGTCCTGTGTTGCAGGTTTCTAAGATCATATCACGTCTAGTGTAGCAGGTTTCTAAGATCATATCACGTCCTGTGTTGCAGGTTTCTAAGATCATATCACGTCTTGTGTAGCAGGTTTCTAAGATCATATCACGTCCTGTGTTGCAGGTTTCTAAGATCATATCACGTCCTGTGTTGCAGGTTTCTAAGATCATATCACGTCCTGTGTTGCAGGTTTATAAGATCATATCACGTCTTGTGTTGCAGGTTTCTAAGATCATATCACGTCCTGTGTTGCAGGTTTCTAAGATCATATCACGTCCTGTGTTGCAGGTTTCTAAGATCATATCACGTCCTGTGTTGCAGGTTTCTAAGATCATATCACGTCCTGTGTTGCAGGTTTCTAAGATCATATCACGTCTAAGATCATATGTGTTGCAGGTTTCTAAGATCATATCACGTCCTGTGTTGCAGGTTTCTAAGATCATATCACGTCCTGTGTTGCAGGTTTCTAAGATCATATCACGTCCTGTGTTGCAGGTTTCTAAGATCATATCACGTCCTGTGTTGCAGGTTTATAAGATCATATCACGTCCTGTGTTGCAGGTTTATAAGATCGTTCTGCTCAGCGAGGATGGCGGGAACTACCTATACTACCGTCAGTGACGGGAATAAATTCCTGGATCACATCACAGAGAAAGGGTTGGACAATAAGAGCATTATCAACAGATTCGACGAAGTCAGCAACAAATATAATGAGGTATAGTGCATGTCAGATTGGTATTTCGAGAGACCTTGGACTAGATGTAAGGAATGTACACCTTTAACAGTGAATATGTACTGGTACTTGTAACTATGGTAGTCTGGCCACTGGAAATAGATATGGTCATGTGAAACGTATTACAGTAGGACTAGGTAGCGGAAGGACATACCGTTAGAGGCAAATAGGATGGTCTGATTATTTGTTGTCAGAATAATAACATGACATTACACATACCATTTTAAGTCGTCTGTTTCGCCATAATACAGCTAGTGACGTTTGGTATTAAACTATTATACGGTGTTCCAGTGATGGAACAGATAGTGTCGGAATGAATACTGTACTCATTATGTAGTTGTAGTAATCCAAGGAATGACCATCACATTATAGTTAATACATATCAGACGGTGCCAAGAAATATACTGTTTCTAAATGAAAACAGATTAGGCTTTAGGGGACTACTTTCACACGTAAATGGCCCGTGAAAATCCGGGTCGTAACGGGCTGGATCAGGTGGCATGTCACTAGGGGGACCACTTTCACACGCAAATGGCCCGTGAAGATCCGAGATGTAACAGGCTGGTTCAGGTGGCATGTCTTTAGGGGGGACTACTTTCACACGTAAATGGCCCGTGAAGACCCGGGATGTGACGGGCTGGATCAGGTGGCATGTCTTGCTGCCTTGGTGGATGTACGTCATCATTTCCATGTGATTGCTCATATGGTATCACACTGATACTCGTGATGTCTTCTGGTTAATAATTATTTAACTGAAATATTGTTGAACATCGCGCTAAACAACATGCAATCAAACATGTTATATGAATCCTTGTAGATAAAGGCATACCTTCTCTTAGCCTTGTAAAGGTACGCATATTTTCGTTTATCCTTGTAAAGAAATGCATACCCTCGTTTAGGCTTGTAAAGGTACGCATACCCTCGTTTATTCTTGGAAAGAAATGCATACCCTCGTTTTTTGTAGCCTTGTAAAGGAATGTATACCCTCGTTTCCGAATGTATACCCTTTGTAAAGGAATGTATACCCTCGTTTAAAGGAATCTTGTACTTGTACAGGAATGTATACCTTACCCTCGTTTTATCATTGCAAATTAATGAATACCCCCTGCTGTTCCAGTGAATTGGATAATAAAACAACCAGTAGCAGTTCATTCGGTAACTCGATGACGATCACAAATGGCATTGTTGAAGTTTGCCTTCCATTATATCTATATCAGTGATGTTTCGTTGAATTCGTAGAATAGAACTATGACCAGTTCCGTGTGTGCCAGTAAAACAAAATGTCTGAAGTTGGTATGTTATCCACATGTTTGATTGATATAATGTTGCATAGAACAGATATTTTCACACCTCTTTACAGGCACTAGGGTCTGTGGATTACATGGGTCCCAGGTCCCTTGCAGCGATTCTGGCGGAACTGCATCCCAGCGGCCGAGAGAATGTGAGAGTGTTGGATGTGGCGGCAGGGACAGGACTGGTCGCTATCGAGGTAGAGACATGTAATACTTGAGGGGGACAAGTGATATATGTGTACTATACCTGAAGTATATCAAGTAGAAACATGTAATACATGAGGGGACATATGATATATGTGCACTATACCTGGAGTATATCAAGTAGAAACATGTAATACATGCAGAGGGAGACATATGATATATGTGCACTATACCTGAAGTATATCAAGTAGAAACATGTAATACATGCAGAGGGAGACATGATATATGTGTACTATACCTATACCAGCGATTCTGGCGGAACTGCATCCCAGCGGCCGAGAGAATGTGAGAGTGTTGGATGTGGCGGCAGGGACAGGACTGGTCGCTATCGAGGTAGAGACATGTAATACATGAGGGGGACATATGATATATGTGCACTATACCTGGAGTATATCAAGTGGAAACCTGTAATACACGAGGGAGACATATGATACATGTGTACTATACGTGAAGTATATCAAGTAGAAACCTGTAATACATGCAGAGGGAGACATGTGATATATGTGTACTATACCTGAAGTATATCAAGTAGAAACATGTAATACATGCAGAGGGAGACATGTGATATAGGTGCACTATACCTGAAGTATATCAAGTAGAAACCTGTAATACATGAGGTAGACGTGTGAATTATGTGTACTATACCTGAAGTATATCAAGTAGAAACCTGTAATACATGAGGTAGACGTGTGATATATGTGTACTATACCTGAAGTATATCAAGTAGAAACCTGTAATACATGAGGTAGACGTGTGATATATGTGCACTATACCTGAAGGATATCAAGTAGGAACATGTAATACATGCAGAGGGAGACATATGATATATGTGCACTATACCTGCAGTATATCAAGTAGAATCATGCAGGCAGAGAGATGTGATATATGCAGGGGAAGACGTGTGATATATGTGCACTATACCTGAAGTATATCAAGTGGAAACATGTAATACATGAGGGAGACATATGATATATGTGTACTATACCTGAAGTATATCAAGTAGAAACATGTAATTTAGCAGAGGGAGACATGTGATATAGGTGCACTATACCTGAAGTATATCAAGTAGAAACCTGTAATACATGAGGTAGACGTGTGATATATGTGTACTATACCTGAAGTATATCAAGTAGAAACCTGTAATACATGAGGTAGACGTGTGATATATGTGTACTATACCTGAAGTATATCAAGTAGAAACCTGTAATACATGAGGTAGACGTGTGATATATGTGCACTATACCTGAAGGATATCAAGTAGGAACATGTAATACATGCAGAGGGAGACATATGATATATGTGCACTATACCTGCAGTATATCAAGTAGAATCATGCAGGCAGAGAGATGTGATATATGCAGGGGAAGACGTGTGATATATGTGCACTATACCTGCAGTATATCAAGTAGAATCATGCAGGCAGAGAAATGTGATATATGCAGGGGAAGACGTGTGATATATGTGCACTATACCTGAAGTATATCAAGTGGAAACATGTAATACATGAGGGAGACATATGATATATGTGCACTATACCTGCAGTATATCAAGTAGAATCATGCAGGCAGAGAAATGTGATATATGCAGGGGAAGACGTGTGATATATGTGCACTATACCTGAAGGATATCAAGTGGAAACATGTAATACATGAGGGAGACATATGATATATGTGCACTATACCTGCAGTGTATCAAGTAGAATCATGCAGGCAGAGAGATGTGATATATGCAGGGGAAGACATGTGATATATGTGCACTATACCTGAAGTATATCAAGTAGAATCATGCAGGCAGAGAGATGTGATATATGCAGGGGAAGACATGTGATATATGTGCACTATACCTGAAGTATATCAAGTAGAATCATGCAGGGAGAGAGATGTGATATATGCAGGTGAAGACGTGTGATATAGGACCACGCTAACATCCAGCAGAAACGTGATTAATCTAGACCTACAGGACTAGCATGGGGAATGTTGGGAGTTAAGGTGAGAGAAGTTCGCCCATGATATATCTACTTATATATATGTACAGTCTCGTTAAAGTTACACTCTCAGTAAGTCATGGATGTGACTATGGTAATCGACCTGTTCCCATACATGACAGATGTTACGTGACAGTTACCAATGAACATAGACCACGCATCTTGTTTCAGCTGAGGAAGAAGGGCTTCGTCAACAATGATGGACTGGAACCGTCGGAGCAGATGTTGGCAGAAGCTAAACGAAACAACTTATACGGACGTTACATCTGCGACCTGGTTGGGGAAAACACCTTTGATATTGAGAATGGTGGGTTCCGTCTCTAGGGGCAGTAAGAGCAGGTGGTCATTGTATCAAATGACGTCAATTATTGCTGATGCTAAAGAAATATCTAATGCCTGTACAGAATAACGTGGTGTAGCTGAATACCTTTTCGTCGGGTGTTTTCAGTGGTATAATTGCTAATGTCATGGGTTAAGCGTTGTAACTATATGCGATGCATAGGGGCGGTGGGGTAGCATAATGGTTAAAGCGTTGGCTCGTCACGCCGAAGACCCGGGTTCGATTCCCCACATGGGCACAATGTGTGAAGCCCATTTCTTGTGTCCCCCGTCGTGATATTGCTGGAATATTGCTAAAAGCGACGTAAAACCCAACTCACTCACTCCGATGCATAATTGCTGGTAGCTTGCCGTGTATTTGCAAGTGAAACACTGACTTGCCTTTGCACCTGGTTGTCACCTCAAACACCTGGTGTCATATTTGATTGTGATTCATAAACATATGCTCATAGTACAGTGGAATCGAGCGTGGATACAGGTTTCATGAAACAGGTCACATGTCTTGTGAATGTTGAAACGTTTTTGTCGTGAATATATAACATTATTATCGTGGAAATGGATATATTCGTTATGAATCAATTCGTGGTAAAGATGTTTATTCCTTTCAGATACCTATTCCGCAGTGACTATGTCTGCGTTGAGTTTAGAGATTTTTAAGAAACTCCCCGTGAAGGCCCTGGAGGAGCTAGCGCGTGTTGTGAAGCCAGGTAAGCTACAGCCTAAAACTCAGACTTCCTGGAAGCAGCGGACCGCCTCCGTGGTGTAGTGGTTAGAGCGTCCGCCCGGAGAGCGGAAGGTCGGGGTTCGATCCCCGACCGCGTCATACCAAAAGACGTTAAAATATGGTACTTGTTGGTCCCTGCCTGGCTCTCGGCATTAATGGGTACAACAAGGACTGGTCGGCTCGGAGTCAGTATAATGTGTCTGAGTGGGGTATTCATGCTTCACTGCGGCATGGTATGTCAGTGGGCTAGCACTATAAATAGCCAGCTTCAGTCTGGGCTAGTACAAGCAGCCGCACATACACACGCATGCACGTCGCCATATGAGCGAAATATTCTCAAGCACGACGTTAAACCCAATTTCACCTCACCTGCTGGAAGCAGCCTTATAGGGACTCGGCATTCGTACACATCTGTTGGTAAGAAACCCATGTTAGAAAATTGGCATCAAACATGTGTGATTTATTTCCAAGCCTGTGATTGGCTACTCCATGGTGATGACCTAAGGTCAGATTATGACTGACTACTTTCCTGATATAAAAATATTTGAAGAGTTACACGTGCTTCAATCGAGCGCACCTGTTACTCTTGCCAAACACCTTTAAACCTACCTGGTTTTGCTGTTATCCATTAAAACACACTTAGAAAATATTTAACGACTCGAATCAGGTGGGGTTTTGTCGAATTTCCTTTATTGTTTGCAACTTTAGATTCTAGTCATGAATTCAAACTGGCTTGAGCAGTGATACCTGTGTAAACAAATTTGTGAATATTCCGATGAACATACACAACATTGGTACTTTTTCAGGAGAGATGCGGTATCGTCTTGCAAAATACCTGACACGAAACAAACGTTCGTGTAGTAATCTCTATTTTCCACCGTCCTGCTTTTTGTAAGAGGTGATTATCGACTTCTAAAGTGTCAGGAAGACGAGAACTGCCTGGCAGATGGCAGATACGAATATTTATAGGCAGCCACCATATAACTTGTGGTTGGCCGTAAACAGGATTCGTTCACTCTTCCTGGGCAAAACAGACCGGTCTGACGGACGGATCGTCCGCCTTAGAGAGTCACACTACGTTGAACCCTGTTGTTATACACTGTCTGCATGGCGTATCTGGTAGCCCACACTAGTAATCTTGACTCAGTTGACATGTGGTCTAGTTGTCTCATGTCACCCATAAGTAACGCTCATACACCTGTGACACTTGTGTTTTCGGATATAAACTTCAGGTACATTGTATAGATGCACAATGTGAAATGCACTGCATTGTACTACTACAGCATAGGTATCAACTGAATACTATATTTGTACATAGGTAAAAGAGACAACATATATTATACTTGAAAATTAATGTCTTTCACATGTTAAGATCGTGCTGCCGACTATATGTGACGTTGTATAGGTAGTTAAAAAAATATGTGTGATATTCTTGTAAACACGCACACACGATGATATATTTGCAATGACCTTGAGTGTGACGTTAAACCACATTTTAAACCAGCATTTTGGTGTGGATACAACAGCGTTCCTGCTGATTGTTTTTCTATCTCGACAGAACACAATTTGATGGGCATTATGGCTTGGCCTTCGACAGTGCTATGTGCATGATGTGTATGGTATTTTTGAAAACACGCACGCAAACACGCACAGTGATATATTTGCAATGCCCTCGAGTGCGACCTACTCCCTATTTCCCACCACCGTGTTTTGTGCGTACAACAACATTCGAGCAATTTCTCGCTGATTGTGATTTTATTCGACAGGAGGGCACATTCTGATGGGGCATTATGACTTCGCCTTCGACAGTGAGGTTCTCAAGGCGAATTTCAGCAGCCTGGAAGGTCGAGGCTTGTGGAAGTTGATTGAAAAGAGACCGACTCCTGACTTCACTCAGGGCAAACACGGTCTGGTGTCAATTCATCAAGTATTGAAGTGACATGAGCCACGCGTTCAAAACAACAATGTAGTATTTGACACCATATTAGGTTTTAGCAACAGAAAATAAACACGGTGAACTCATTGCGAATTGTCTTTGTGGAACTGCTTCACCAGAAATGGGCAATATGACTGGGAATCAGAACCCGGGTCTCGTAAGCGACGACACGCTTTAAACTTGATACCCCGCAATACTATTAGTTCGACTTCAAGATGATCGACTATTTTAATTGTTGCATATCTGTAATTGTTGCATGTCTGTAATTGTGCAGTAGTACTAGTTTTTGAAACAGCCAAAAATGGAAATCGTTCCGTTCAGGATATTTCACACTAAGCATTGATACGGACGGAAACTTGGTCTGTCCAGAGAGTTGCGTTACATAGACGTAGCAGGATCCGGTGACATTGGTTCAAATCCCAGATTGGTAATGATTACGCTTTCAGCTCTGTACGTTGTTTATTGGTTTTGTCTCAATGTTTTCAATCGATCTCTACAGGCTTTTTCTCGCAATATACTCAGTCTGTCAGGGGTGATGAAATTCTAACACTATTCAAAGCAACGTCAAACCCATGTACTTGCTGAAACACAAAACGAATATACTTTAGTTATAAACCGCTATCGGCGATATTCAAACAGACCAGGGAGGGACCTCAAAATGGTAATAGGTTCACTGTAAGGGGAAGTAGATACACTGGCATACACACGTTACCTGTCCCACACATGCATGAATGAACAAACCAACGTGACCCATGGGTCAGGGTATTCGACCTACGTTACCTTGGGCTGTTGTTATCCCATATCAAGATGAAATATCAAGATGAAATATCGACCCTTGAAGATCCGGGGTAGAATAGGTCTTCAGCAACCCATTCTTGTCGTACAAGGCGACTGCTTGTCGTACAAGGCGACTAACGGGATCGGGTGGTCAGGCTCCCTGACTTGGTTGACACATGTCATCGGTTCCCAATTGCGCAGATCGATGCTCAAGCTGTTGATCACTGGATTGTCTGGTCCAGACTCGATCATTTACAGACCGCCGCCATATAGCGGGAATATTGCTGAGTGCGGCGTAAAACTCAACTCACTCACTCACTCATTCAAGATGAAATATCACATAACTGAAATATTTCTCAAACCTGCGTGACGCTCAACTCCATAGGATACACGTTTATCCTTTAGTGTTAAACTACTTCACGTAATATCCTTCAGCGTTAAATTGGTCAGGTGGAGAAAGCCTGTGCGGAGAGTGGAGGGTTGAATCGGCGACATACAAAACAACGTAAAACATGGTACCTGTTGGCTCTTAGTATGAAAACAAACTTTGCTCAGTATCCTTCGCCGGATTGGGCTATGCATCTTGATCAGCAGCATAGTATCGCTGTAGAAACCGGTAGTAGTCTGGACCCGAACAAGAAGACAGTGTGGCCAACAACAACAACAACCAAAAACAACCAACAACAACAACAACAACAAACTGAATCGTGGGACGGAACTGTGGACACTACAGGCTGCTGTCGAAATTTGGTGATCTACACATTTTGAACGTATTTGGAGTTCACCAGAATCGAAACATCACATCATACTTCATACAAATATAACATTCTACATTCTGTTTATATACTCTTCCATTAAAGCCATAAAGTATTGGGTAAGATTACTGCATATGCCATGCCATAGGTTTCCGAAAAAATGTTATGATATGATGAAATTGTATGACGAAAATGGGAAAAGGAATTGGGTGAGTGATATTAGGGAGTTGTTGTACAAAACTGGTTATGGTTATGTGTGGTGTGATCACAATGTTCAGTTGCATACCAATTTTATCATATCATTTACACAAAGAATGAAAGATATCTATTTCCAGTCTTGGTCGGAATCACTACTTCTATCCACAAAATGTTTATACTATAACCAATGGAAATCGGACATACGTTTTGAAGACTATTTAGCAAAAGTCGGCGTAAAAAAGTTCCGTATAGCTCTCTCTCGTTTTCGTTGCTCTTCCCATGAATTATTTATTGAAACTGGCAGGTATGCAGGTATACAAAGAGAAATCAGAATATGTCAGTTATGTAATATGAGTACTGTTGAGGATGAACTACATTTTCTTCTAATCTGTCCTGTTTATACGACTCTACGAACGAACTACTTAAAGCCATACTATTATAGGCATCCAAGTGTAAGAACATTAATTTCACTATTAACAGATACTACCACATCAATATTACAGAATCTGGCAATGTACATCTATTTCGCTATGAGATTAAGAAAAGTATTGTTACAGAAAATAATTTATAAATGATTTCTATCTACTCATGATAAACTCTAATGTACTACAGGCCTGTGGCCATTTTTAAGTACTGAAATAAAGATTGAGGGGCCTGAAAGACTGGTATCTTTAAAACTGAGAAGAGTCCTTGTTTTCTTTGTTTGACTTGCGCTGTGGGAAGTGAGTGAGTGTAGTTTTACGTCGCACTCAACAATATTCCAGCTATATGGCGGCGGTCTGAACAATCGAGTCTGGACCAGACAATCCAGTGTTCAACAGCATGAGCATCGATCTGCGCAATTGGGAACCGATGCGTGGTGGGAAGTAATGCATCATGCTTTACTTCAATATTGTTTCAGAATTATGGAGGCAAAACTGATTATTGAATTTCCGTTTTCAGGCAGAATGACCTAAGTCACTAAAACTAAATCAATGAAATCAAATCAAATCAAATAAATGAATTTATGTAAATGCATTTTGTATCTCTCTAATGTGTCAGTAGCACTGCAGATGTAACACAAATTCCTGGAAAGGCACTAAAGTAATATTCTATTCTATTTTAAACTGAGAAGCAAAACGACCTATGTATAAAATCATTTAAAAAAATAACACAATAATTATGACTAATATAGCAACACAAGATGCATGTACCCATTGCACATGCTTCTGGTGAACGTTTGAGAGGAATATTGGGGTTTTAAACTATATATTTTTTTAGAAAAAACAATCTCAACCTTAGAGAATAGCACGTTTTCCATTTGTTTGCAGACTGCAGTACACCAACCAGCCATCATAATGAGTGATAAAACATCAAACTGTTATAAACAATTCATCCTTATCGATTATATTATACTATATGAAATTACAGGTATCACGGAAAACGCCCACTTCATATCTTTACAGTGGTGAGACATACCCCGACTATAACCTTTGTCAAATTCTCGGGAGAGCCAGACACAAGTATTTTGTGACAAGTATATCTACCGGGCTCAAGCCAGACAGCTGCTGTGAATGTCATGGTGACCTGCCTCTTTAGTATTGTCAGGTGATATGAACTTTCCTGGTATATTTGCACATCTGACAGTATCCTACTGCCACTCATGTGTACACAGATATAACTTTTTACAGACTGTACTCACAGATCAACAGCAGTCAGAATGATGAAGCCTGACATTGGCACAACTGTTATAAATCTAAGAAAACATTACACGAAACAAAATAAACAGACACACCAAATTCTGGGTTCTGATTCAGAGTTGTTGGTAGTGTCATTCACTACAATTTTGGGTCTGAACCAGGCATAGGCTCGTTATTTAATGCTAATTTTTTTTCAATCTAACAACAAATATAAGTGTCGATGGTGTACTGAAGTTATCAACTGGTAATAATGGAGCTTAAACATGTTTTTGTTACACTTTTCACATGAATGCTTTCTATCCAGCTTAATGTCACCTCCATCTTGGATAAAGATCAGAGAACCAGTTTTACCAGTTTCTGAAGATGCTTTTGTCTGATCCATACAAGCGTAGTCTATCCATGTATGAAATATTATGTAACTAAAGCGTAATGGGGGCACAGTGTCAGATCCGTCACCTCCGGGTTTATAAACAGACGTAATAGGGACACAGTGTAAGATCCGTCACACCCGGGTTTATAAACAGACGTAATAGGCACAGTTTCAGCTCCATCACACCCGGGTTTATAAACAGACTTAATAGGGACACGGTGACAGATCCGTCACCCCCGGATTTATAAACAGACGTAATAGGGATACAGTGTCAGATCCATCACACCCGGGTTTATAAACAGACGTAATAGGGACACAGTGTCAGATCAGTCCGCAGGGCCCTGCAACCAGAGAAAATGGGATTTACACATTCAATTCTTTAACCCAAAAAGTACTGTCCCCTGTGAATCCTATTCTGCATATATATTAATTGAAAACACTATATACGTCCTTTGTGTGATGACATTTTGATAGAGGTCTGCACTGAAGAGGGCCGGGGGGATTGTCTATACAGTGAGGCACACCTTGATAGGTGATAGGCTAATAGTGACAGGACAGGGACGGGAGTTGGACTCAGATAATTCACCTGTGTACAGAGAAGGTTAGGCATTCTGATGGAGGTCCAATATGATTACATGGGTGCGTGATAAGAGTTTTTGTGTTATGTATGGTAGTTCTCATACAGGGCCTTCATTTTGTTAGGTATATTCTTTCTATTATGGAAGCTGTCTGCACCACAAACATGGGCAACATGGAATGAGACTTAAATGTTGTATCCTATCCGGCTGACTGACCAGAATGCTTAGGAGCGACAGTAAAATCAGATATGCAGGGATTGGGAAACAGCCAAGAACGGAACTGTGTGGTCGCCCAGCAGTAACCGGCGACGCCGACAATGGAGCTACGTCACGGCCTAATGTGTTCCTAAACCGTTGACATCACAGAGCCATTACGTCAACAATCAGTTGACGTCAGAGAGAATTTAGGTTATCTGTATTGAAGAGGGCCGGCGGGATTGAGGAATACCTTGATAGGTGATAGGCTATTATTGACAAGACAGGGACGGGAGTTGGACTCGGATAATTCACCTGTGTACAGAGAAGGTTATACATTTTGATGGAGGTCCAATATGGTTGCATGAGTGCATGATAAGAGCTGTTAAATGCATTGCGGTCAGTTTTAGCGTTTTTGTGTAATGTATAGTAGTGCTCATAAGGGGCCTCTATTTCGTCCGGTATATTCTTAAAGTTTCTATTATGGAAGCTGTCTGCACCACAAATATATTGCAGGCAGCATGGAATGAGACTT